TCTGGTTATATCTACTTTTGCATATTTGTATGAAATTTGAAGCAAGCAAGGCTGGCGAGAGGGGGGGGGGGCAGTGGGGGCAAAATACCCGATCGTATAAAAACGTACCAAATGTGAAATAGAATATTTTTCGATCGTTTACTCAGCAAAAACAGTTAGCTGAACATCGTTCACATTGCGTTTCACATTGCGTTTTATCAGTTATGCGGCGATTTCGTGCAAGTAGTTCGCTGGTAATTCTCTTGTTGATTGGGATTAAAAATAGACTTTGGCGTGGCCATGCGCCAGCGGGAGAGTCGAGAGGGACAGGGGGCCCACCTTCACCAATTCGTCATTTTGTCCTGGGGCCCGTGGCCAGCCTTGATTTGAAGTTCAAACAATATCATTACGGAATCTTGGGCTCATTGACCTGTGGGAAAAATAAATTTATAATAATTGCATGATACTTTGATGAAAATGATAATCGATGAAAATTTATATCAATTTATCAATGTTGATCAACTTATGTTTGGGTATTGATGACAAATGTTGTGACTATTTCATTGATTGACTGGTGATTGAAATATGTTTTTGTTGATTATTGATTTCATCAATCTCTAATCCAGAGCCATATAAGATTGTGATTTCATCAATTTAGGGGTCACACCCGTATTCAAGTTGCCACGCGAAACGTCAATTTGATGTTTTGCATGGCAACTTTAATATCGACATAGTCCCTTGGTATGAGTGACTACGAAAATTGATTACAATGATAATTAATGATAAAATTGGCCCAAGTTTTTTTTGTGTCGATTGATTGGTCATAGACTATCTGAAAAGCAGGCACCAGGCCCTATTTAACTTCCCAAAGATAAAGTATGTCACTTATGGACCTGTTGTAACATGCCCAAATAGACCTAACTTTCCCCTTTTAAGTGAGATTTTGATCAAGACAAGTCTCGACACAATTTCATCACAGCTTGAAAAAGCATCACAAAATACTAAATATTCCGAAGTTTCGTTGTGAAATGTTGTAAAATGTGGATAATATAGCCTTGCGAAGTTTGCCATTTTTCAGTTATTTAGATTACAAATGGAAATTGATAATCAATTTGATCATCTGATTATCAATTTCCCATTTGTAATCTAAATGACTGAAAAATGGCAAACTTTGCAAGGCTATATTATCCGCATTTTACAACATTTCGCAACGAAAATTGGGGATATTACTAATTTTGTGTTGCTCTTTCAAGCTGTGATGAAATTTTTGTCCCGATCAAAATCTCACTTAAAAGGGGAAAGGTCTATTTGTACTCAACAGTCTGGATTATTTGCATTTTGCCTGTCCTTCCATGCAGATAATGTGCAGTAGGCTGTAGATAATTTTGTGTCTGTGGTTTGCCCCAGATTTGAGATATATTTCATGTGATTTCTGTAGTTTGTTGAAAGTGACGTGGACCAGGAGTTATTATTTAATATACCGTATGTATATTGTGTTTTTTTACTGTTAGTAGTGGTTTATCACAAAGAAATGATAAAAGATTTAGTGTACAGTATATAATGCAAATATGAATTTTTTTAGTAATGTGGAAATATCATTGATAATATTTTAGATTTACTGGGAATGTAAAGTTAAAGGGAATTATAATTATTGGTGGCGAAGGTGAAGAGCATCCAAGAGTTATGAAGCTGTGAGTGTTTGTGCTTATCTCATTAGTAGGGTCTGAAATTTAATTTTTTTCGCACCCTGGCATAACAGGATTCAAAGTTCTACTGTAGTATGCCATCTAAGAATCTAGTGTGCTACTTTTGGATTCTGCTTAATAGGCCTAAAAAATACTACCTTAATTCATTGGTATAAATTACAATAACAACAAGAGACTCAACATAGACCACCAAGTTGGAAATCAAATTAAGGCTGATTATTTCAGGAAGGCAGACTCATATAGTATGCAAAGCCATTGGGGAGACCACCAGTCAGAGACATTTGGCATTATCCTAATGTTTGAGGTTTTATACTATCCAGTCGAGATTCAAGTCATTCACAGTTTGATATCCAAAACCAAAATTTTAGTATCCCGTACGATATTGCATGAAATACTGAAAATTTCAGATCCTGATTTGTGCATGGCTGTGTTCTAAAAGACTTTGAAACCAACTTGATACAACAATTTTTTTAATTACTCTTTACACTCAGTGTTAATTGAAAAGAGTGATGAAAAGAATTTTCGTACTCTGAGGATGATACTGTAACTAAACCATTAACTTGCACTGTGCCCTAATGCACCCTTATTAGTTTATTATTTTACTCTGGCTGCTAGCTAGACAATTTTACTCAATCGTTAAGTGGAGAGTGCTGGTGCTCATTGGGTTAATAGGCCTTTTATGTGTGTTTCAGTTATAAGAACAAGTCACATATGACGTTTGATGAGACAGGTGTAGAGCCAGATCAAGTGTTTGAACTTGTACAAGATATGAATGGCACTGTTGAATATACTACCAAGTGAGTACAGGTATAGTCAGGGACCTAGCCAGGATTAGGTATAGTCAGGGACATCTAAAAGTGTTAGGCCAGGGGCCGGTTGTATAGAACTCTTAATCACTTTAGTTAAATAGTGATTAACTCTCAAATAGGACAATAGGTGCTTCTTATTGGATGACGTTTGCATTTAATCATAGTTAACATTAATCACTTTTTTATACAACCGGCCCCAGGTCCTCCCCCAAAACATGTTTTCCTTGGAATAAATTTTAGATCAGATCTTTATATATGTATCCTCTAAAAACGTGATTCTTAGTCAATACGAGATTCTTAATCAATATGATTGATTACAAAACTTTCTTGAGCGTAGCATGTTTTTTGTTCTTTTCATACTGTAGGGTACCAAGATTTTCCAGTGTGCAATGTTTATCAATATATTTCCCAAGTAACTTTGGTGCAGAGACAACCAAGGTTACATACATTGGGCTTAAAGGAGAATTTCAAGAGGTACATGGTCTGCAGTTATTTGGTATTAGACGTCTTATACAGTAATTCGCTTCTGGGGCCAGTTGTTCAAAGCTACAGTAGATTAGGGCTACAAACTTTTTTCAGACACTTGTAGTGTCTTTCTTTTTGAACATTTTATTTTCATTCTGCCAGGCTCGTCGACACGAGGTGACTATCTGTAATTACGAAGCCAGAGCTAATCCTGCAGATCACAAAACAAGCTTTCTAGACACTGTCAACCACGCAGTCTCGTGATAATCTTGTACGTTGTTACCAAGAAGAAAAAAAGCAGGAATCTTTTTCAGAGATCAGGTACAATGTGTCAATGCAGTCTCGCGAAAAATGATGAGCAGACCAATATTTAGCCAATTATTGGCCATCTTGTGTAATACTTTATACAAAGGAACTCGGTTAAAAATGCGCCAGAAATTTGGCTCATGGGATTACCGTATTACTGTATCAACAAGGTATCGTTGGATACGAATATATCGCGTAGTGAGCGTTTATTGGGACAAAGTGACAACCTAGGCGATCATATGAAAGAAATGACAAAAAGCGCGGGTTCACTATACTGTTCAATAAATGTACTGTAACATCGAAGTTCACAACTTAGTTCTTCTATATCAATCAGCATTATGTTTGCAAAGCCAAGATAATTGTGGTTTTTTTGACACTCTAAAGGCTGCATTCCAGTTACGCGTTTTTTATACGTGCGTACACGCACGTAAAAGTTGGATTCGCTTTACATCCTACTTATTATTATTATTATTATAAATTTCCAAACTAGCAGTAACAACTGAATTACTTTGGAAATACAGGGTGTAAGAACATAGGTATTCAATCTATTCTGTATTTACAGGTAAAAATAGGTAAGTTAGATAAAAATAACGATAATAATCTAAAGTTTACTTATTATTATAAGCACGAGACGCAGCAGGAATGAAACTGTTCGAAAACGTTCAGTTCTACACCTAGGTACTAATAAGTTGGGATAAGACCTCAGATTATAAGTTTGAAGACTTTTAGGCGGTACTAAGGCATTCAGTTTATGAGTGGGTTCCAACATCTTCGAAAAAAGTCGCTTGCAAAGAACAGTTCTACGTTCGTAAAGAATCATCAAGTTAGAGTCATCAACATTCAGCATAGATAGTTCCAGGGAAAATAATTTTTAATGCCCTTTTTTGTATTTTTTCAACTTGATCACTCAGGTAATGAGGAAGGCCATAATTCGACAATTGGTCGAATATGTCTACAATAGGTTGAGATCAGAATATGAGAAGGTAAAGCATTTCTTTTAAGAAGGCGCAGACCGTACAATCGCTTCGCGGCTTTCTTGCAAATGTAGTCAATATGGCAGTTCCATTTGAGGTCGTCCGAAAGGACAACGCCCAATAGTTTGGCCTCGGAAACGACGTCCACCTCTTGACCGCGAATGGTAATAGGGGCAAACGATGGAGTAAGCTTAGAAAAGCAGACACGCAATTCTTTGGTCTTTGATACGTTTAACTTCATATTATTGTCTGATGACCATTCAGAGCAGCTGATGATGTTAGCGGGTAACTGGGAAGGGGAATTGTTCAATTATTTCCCAAAGGCTAGTATCATCGACAAATTTAACAGTTTCATCCGCTACAGCCAAGTCATTTATCATGATCAAAAATAATAGCGGGCCAAGCTTCGTTCCTTGTGGGACGCCGGCGTTTAAAAACTTCCACTCAGAAAAGAACTGACTTATGAAATATACTTATGAAATAACTAAATTGATAAAAGGACAGCATTCAGTTTTGTGTATGATTTAATGTGCACTTGTTAAGGTTATTTGCACTTATATGAAATTTTAAGCGAATTCAACTTTTACGTTCGTGTACGCACGTATGAAAAACGCGTAACTGGAATGCAGCCTTAAAGGGGCAATGTCACCGATTTTTGACCTAAAATGCCTTTTATTCAAAAACTGAACTACAAAGTTAAAAACAAACATTGTAAATGGATTAAGTTATGATATACGAGTCATATTAAACAACTTTGAACTTCCACGCAACATGTACATGACATTTTCATCAAAATTGACTAAAACTTGAAAAAGTGTCTGCCAACAATTAATCAAGATGCCATTTACAATCCATCTCAATCCTGGCGTAATCTTGCCCATCCAGACTTCTGTTTTTTGTTTCTGTTATTGCTTTATTTTGTGCTTACACTCATTCTTTTTCAGTTTTGGGCAAAATTTGCGAGGGTTATATAGAATTGCTCTAAAATCGGTGACATTGCCCCTTTAAGGCTTGCTATAAGCGAACTTGAGCAAAGCGTAATCTAGTACGGACACGTTACAAAAAACAGCCTTGAATTTTACACTTTTAAAATTTTAAAGAACTATTGTTATTAAGAACTTAAACAGGCCGGACGAAAGTCATAATAATATCATATTGATAGAAGAAAATGAACAGGAATGAACAATTAAGATAGATTTAGATTAGACGTTGCCGTCGCCCTGTTACAAAGGCAAAATACAGATTATCACGTTTTTTTATACAACGCTTACATTTTAAGATGCTACTTTCAACTGCTACTTTCTATTGGGTTCGGGATTTTTTTCAGTCATCAACCCTGTGTTAATGATCCAACCCAAGTATATGTTGCGTGCAGTTGTGTAATGTACAGTATAAACACCGCTCCCTTGGCCTTTAACCTGTATAATAATGCATGAGGAAAATACAAAAGAAATGAATGTTTAAGGTGGCTCAATACAGTTTTTGAAAAAATGGAAAATTCACGATTTAGATGCGTATTTTTGGACAATTATTACTTGTTGATAAACATTTAAAGAGTTTGAATTGTCGCACAAAAGTTACACAACTGCCAATTTAAATAAAATTCTGTAGAGACAAAATTTTTTAAATAGTTATGTATAAAGTGAACAATAATCTAGCACCCTCTGATGTATGTAATCTTTTCAAACACAACACCAGCAATTACAATCTTAGGAATGTAAGTGATTTCTCCATACCTAGATTTAACACGGTTACGTATGGGAAACACAGCTTGAGGTATATGGGCCCGTTCATTTGATCAAAGATCCATAAGTCCATAAAACGGCTATATCCTTAGATACGTTTAAGACACATACGGCAAATGGATATAGCCGACTTAATTTCCAATAGTTGTACTAATTGCTATTTATGCAACAATTAATCGACACTAATTATAGATATTTGTTATAATATATTTATTCTGTTTATATAGTTAATAGTAGTTAATATAGGTAGGTGTCCCCAATTAGTTTCTTTGTAAACTAGAATTTATTTGACACAATAATAAAGTTTTTGATTGATTGATTGATTGTGATTATTCATAATAATTTTTTTTGGCTCCACAGAATTTTTTTTAATTGTCAAAATAATTGATTATACTAAGAGAAATGATTTTTTTAAAATAAAATTTGGAGGTCACCAATGTCGTTTACGAGTTAAATTACTTTAAAGCCAAAATATCCGCCATCTTGAAACGTCATCGTTGCCATAGCAACGGCAGTTACGTAACTTTTGTGCAAAAATTCAAACTCTATAGATGTTGTTTTATATAAGTAAAGTACTTTTTGTTTATCAACAAGTAACAATTGTCCAAAAATACGCATCTAAATCGTGAATTTTCCATTTTTTAAAAACTGTATTGAGCTAGCTACCTAATCAATGTTTGTAAATCGGATAAAGATTTGTCCTGATTTACATAAACTTCAGCTTTGATTTTCTCCGCTTAGACAATGTTTATTTTATATCAGATAAAGATCGGCTGTTCATGTTTTAACTGGTACTTATAAACCCGTCAGACATTATTTTTGTTTTCCATTGCATGGGTTTTGAACTTTAGTGTAGCAAACCCACAGTATGTAATTGGATTTTACTACCTTAAATTTTGGAAAGGGAAGTCAGAGCGGCCAAAAAAATCATTCACATTTCAAAAGTTTCACACTTGTTTCTCCTATAATCTATATGAATGTATAGCATGCAGTGTACCACATAGATTGTACATGATCAGCTCAGTTTTATTGTCCCACAAGCAGTATAAACCTTTTATTAATCAATCTTCGATGTAAAAAAATACAGTATATTTTATTAAAGTAACGAATACAGTATTATAAAATTAAAAAGTTCAAAGTTTTTCTTCACATTGATTAACATTTTATTACTTAAACAATGCTTGCATGTGGACTTACAGCTAAGGTGTCAAAAAAGGTAACAGTTTAAAGATTTTTTCGTATCAATTTAATAAAGATTAGATCTGTATGGCTATCATTTTCAAATGCTACATTTTGTATCATTCGAACAAAAATGTCCAAATACGATTAAAAATTTCCGGTCAAAATCCCAGTTGCCCCCAAATTTTCCGCCTTTTCCTAAGATCTTAGATCTCAGGTCTTTGTTTTTAGACACACTTTAATCAAATAATAATTTCAAAGAGCAATAATTGCGCAACAACCCAATCTCTTACAAGACGGAGACCAGCTAAGAAGTATATAGGCAAATCAACCCTCTTACAGTTGTTCTGCCGACAGAAAACCATAGTCTCGATAATTTTTTGTCAAAGGCAATTCATAATAAAACTAGAGGGCATTCAAAACGTGTATTATTACGAATTGAGTTCGCGTTTCAGTCGAGAAAACCAAAGCAAATTTTTTCTAAATTTTTCATCCAATTTCACATCCAGTTTCAACTAATATTTGGTCAATTTCACCTTGGCTTATGGCTATTGGTTCCACAAATTTTCGGAACCAAGTGTATAATAGTTTTTGAGTTATTCAGTTGCGACCACACAACACAAGCACCACACAAACATGCACACAAGCAAATGAAAACGTACCTTCCTGGGAGGTAGAAAAAGTTTGAGCTCAAATAAATTCACCATAGCTTTCAGGAATCTATCTGCAGGCGGCTTTATGTCTTATTTGCACATCATTAAGCAGCGTTGAAGTCGGAAGAACTTTAGGTTGCATCCTGATGTTTCGCGCTCCGGAATAAATTACTCCTTGATCTTTATACCAATCACAACCCTTTCCTTAACCCTGTTACAAACAGCACACCAAATCGAAGCTATAGCGTTTGGTGGCCAATTTTACAGGAATACCAACCGTTAGTTCCAACAAGTTATTCGAATTAAATTTATGAATTGACTACATAGACTTTAGAAACTTATACACAGACTGCAGGTATAGTGTGTCACAATTTTGCACATCAAGCTTCATGCAATTAGTATCGAAACTGGAAGATTGGATGGAGAAGAACTTTACACCATCCAAACAACACACTTGTATATAGCATTTGGTAGCCAATTTTACAGGAATACTATACTTACGGCAGGTGT